CTCCAGTTCGGGATCCTGCCTGGAACCTGCTCCAGTTCCTGCTCAGATATTGATAATTGGCCCAGAAGTATGACCAACTGCGCCTGCGGCTGACTAAGTCTAGACGAAAAGTGTCGGTTTTTGAATATTTTGACAGTTGGCACTTGATGGCTCCAATTGGACATAGATTAAATAAATTTTAACAGATCAAGGACAACACTTCTTCTTTTAGGACATACCTTTTTTTCCATTTACCAATCTTGTGTTCAAGGACATTTAGTGAGTTTTGTAGTTCAATTTTCGACTTTTACTTCTTGGTTACAAAAGTGAAATATAGTATAGTAAATGGTGGAGCTAGCATAGTATAGTATATAGTATAGTTAGTATAAATATATAAAGTAGAAGAGACAATGAGGTTTTGTTTTAAATGTGTGGCTATTCATAAAATTTAGCATTGTGAAATTGGACAGTAAAAGAAAAAGCTTAAGGAACTTCTATAATTTTTTTGAGCCTTATTTCATTTTTTTTAAGCTAGAATTTGAGAATAAATCGAAAAATAAGTAATTTTTCAAAATACGGAAAATACTTAATAAGAATAGGTTCAATACTTTGAAATTGTTGAAAGTTTCATACAAGGCATAATTTAATTTAAAATAAATGAAGAATGTTTAACACAAATTTATAATCAGTATTACAAAAATAAAAAATACACTTTAAAAAATATATATAAATATTGATAAAATAACACCCCATCATTGGTCTTGTTTAGTTATTTTCTTTTTTGATGCCTTTTTTGCATTAGGGATTTATTTCATAATTGAGACTTATATCGTTTTACTTTTTGAGGTCCTATTTCTTTGAGGTCTGAATTCCAAAACCCTACTTTTGCTGTATTTTATTTGTTTGTTATTGTTATGTCGTTCATATTAAAAGAGTATAAGTACTGTTTCAAATTTAGAAACCTAAAATACTTTTCTGTGACCAAAGAATGTGGGCTCCCCCCAGAAGATAAGTAAATGGATTAATCGGAGGTACCGAAACGTATCACTGAGATGCACGGTGATGTGGAGCAGAGAACTGCTCCATGGCGGGGCTTAAAGGCAAGTTGGTAAAGCCATTAAGCGGCTGCCGACCGATAAACTCCACTTGAGGCACGCGATGCCAACGCTCTGTCCGGATGTGATTTATGTGGCTTTTAGGATATTTTATTAAAATGCATATTCGTTGCTCGGATGTCACCGTCGGGCCGCCGTTCAGTGTTTATGATTTTCATAAGCTCGCCGGCCATTGGTCAGCGGCTACTGCAGCATCCATTGCTCCAGGCGGAGCAGGATTAGCAGGAGTTGGGGGACCTGGGGCACCTGGGATACCTGGCTGGAGAAGTGGTTCCTGTTCGGCGGCCAGGTTGTATGTCATAAATTGTCACCGCTGGCAAGCCGGATCGGCCAGATGCAGACGCAAACACAGAGCCGGGCGCAGTGTCAGGTGAAGATACTGTATCTGATCGCTGCGACCGTTGCGGGTCATAAACAAGCGGATCCGAGGACCTGGTCTGGCCACCATACCCTCCTGACCACCATTGCGCTTCCTCCTTCTGGCTTTAATTAAAGCAGTTTGCCCGTCTTCATTTTTGTATCTTCTGTTTTTGTATCTTTTTGCCGGGGGGCAGGGGCAAGAACAGTCGAAACAGTCATCAACGTTGGCCGGGGCTTAGAGCGGATTCGTTTATCAGTTTATTTAAATTTTCCTCGCATGTATGCTGTGGGGTTGGGTGTGGGATTGGGTGTGGGTGTGGGTGTGGTTGTGGGTGGCTCGTATTTATGCCCATAATCAGGGCGCATGGAATCCCGTTAAGTCGCGTCATAAGGCGGTTCGCCATTTTCGCTTATCGTCATCTCAGGCCCAGTAAAAGTCTCCATCTCCATCTCCTTCTCAGTCGCAGATTCAGATTCGGTTAGAGCTCCAGCCCCGCCCTCTAAGAAAAACTGAGCCGAGTTTTATTGTTGCTGCTGAGAAATTGGATTCGTATCAGTGGCACACATCCACATTTATTCAGACACACATAAGCCCACGCCCACACGTACTGTTTATGGCAACTCATATCTGACAGATATAAAAGTGAACACCCCCAATGCAAAGAAGCTACAAAATGCAAAGACACAGAAAGAAATGATTTAGCAAAATATCGAGATGGTATGGTAGGTCATAAAAAGACTGCTTAAATGCCGCAATGATATCTGCAATCTAAATAAACCTAATTAAAACTAAAACTCCCTTTTTCTCCATTTAAGCTAAGTTTTGTACAGAAATACCATTTTGCATTAATAAACAAGGAATACAATTTTATACTGACACCCTTAATGTTAATACCAATAAGTAAATTAATAAGTGAGCGGCTTATAAAAAAATATTTGACCAATTAAGGGAATAAGGCGATTCATTATTATACTTATACTTAATTTTTTTGTATTTTGTTGGTTTTTTTAATTCGTTTATAAGGTAGTTGAATTAAATTTTATTTATTTATTGGTATTATTATCCTATCGCAACAAGACTTGTCTGAAAAATTAATGCACTAGTCACTCTACTGAGCTACATTCACAGAGAGGAAAAAAATTCATGGGGTTGTATATTTTTTAAATGTACCTTGACTTAATTTAAAGAATTTTTTGTCTTTGGAATTTTGATATAAATACATAAATACAACAATACATTTATCCTCTCGCGTTTTTTTTTTTTGTTCATAAAAGTAATATATTTTTTAAAAATAAAAATGCCTTATTTTAATCTGTATTTGTGATTGGTACAGCAGAGAAAAAAAGATAAAGGATAAAGTCGAGGAAGAATAAACATGAACGGAAAAGCCCTACACAGCCTGCCATTTTGTGAGAAAATCTGCCCAAACGACAAGAATGTCGAAGAAAAATGATAATAAAATAACACAAATATGGCCGAGGGAAATGCTCGTTATGCGAGGATTTTCTTCTCTCTCTTTCAGCTTTTCCCTTACATTTTATTTTTATTTTATGTATTTACCACATAAGCAGCTTAAGTGGCAGCAGAGGGGGATAGATAGGGCTCCAAGCATATACGGATTTACATAAAAACATACTCGTGTGTGCAAGTCTATATGTACTCTGTATGCCATATCAAAGGCAGAAGGATCAGGCATAATGCCGACGTCGCCGCATGTGCCATAATTTGCAGAAAAGTGCCAGAACAGCCACCCAACCACACAGCTCCAATCCAATTCCAATCCCATTCCCATACCAACTCCCACTCCCTCTCCCATTTCCATTTGCACCCAACCCCAGGCTGGCATTAAAATGCCTTTCGAACAAGGATAACATTTTCGCTTTCTTCCAGGACGAGGGGGTGTATGGCACATGGGGCGAAATGGGTGCATGCCATAAAAACAATAGCGCACATAAATTTTGCACAAATATATAAAGTATGCAAAAAGGCATAAAAACGAATAAAAACGAATAAAAAGCAGCGGGACGAGGTCTTTTCCACCAAAATGAGGGAAAGCCCCACACAAAAACCCATTCGTACATTCACGAAAATCGTAAAACATAAGTAAGGATACGAAATATTTGCGATTTCGTTTGTTTTATTTTTTTCCCCTTTTTCCTGTTTTGTATTCATTTTATTTCGCACTGATTACGCAGAAATTTTAACGAGATCAGATATGGATGAAAACTCGTTAGGGACCTAGAAAAAAATATCATTTGGATAAATAGAGTCCTTCCTCTATTTTCTACAGGCTAATCAGTACTATGTTTGCTAAATATATTATTTTTTTTTTGGCAATTTTTACTTAGCTCTTTACGTACTGTTTATCCAAACTATTTAAACTCTGGTGAATTTTACTTTTAGCAATAAATTTCAAAAATTAATTTTCTTAAATTTTTAAAAAAATGTATATAAACAAAAAATGGAAAAGTTCAAATGCATTTTAAACCTTTTGATGATTTTTCCATATGTTTAAAGGCAGATCTCTATCGATACGGAGTTTATCAGGTCCTTTTGAATGCATCATATTTACGTAATGACATCAGCGGCATCCCTTTCTGGTCATTCCGATATCGGGATATATCAATCTTTTGCATTGGACGAGGCAATCGGAACAAATGCGATTGCCGGAGGGCATGGCATATAGCCATCTTTCACGGGGTCACAGATGTTGGCATTTGCTGGCGTCATCGTCGTCACCCGTAATTGGACATCGCCAGAGGTTCAAGTGCTTCTGCTACGGTCCTCCTCCTAACTTCACCCTTAACCTTACGTAATTGTGATTTTCCGTGTTTTCCATTTGATTTTCCGTTTTTTTTTTCCTCCCTTTGTTAGAATTCACCAAGTGCATGAATTTGTCGTTTTCCAGAAATTTATGCTTTTTAGTTTATTGCTGGTGCGAGGTGGAGGGTGTGCCGGTATAGTTTTATGAGTGGACCTTGTGTGCTGGCCACCAGGAGTCCGTCCCTGGCCAGGGCAACTCCATGTGTAATTGGGAATTTATTAGTCGCTAGAGACTCATTTACATTTCTTCCTTTGGGGGTGGAGTGGGTGGCAGGGTGAGCAGGATTCAGGCAGGGGCCATCGGAAGCTGCTGTAATTATTAGCCATTCTTTTATTTATGGCAAACAAAGTTTTGATTTATCCTGGACACACTGGATTCTCAAGACGAATGCTTGATGCTTGGCCAATAAATCTTCGAAATTGTCTATCGTTCTTGTGTATGGAACTGATTTATTACTAATTGCTAGTCATACACCTGGCATTTATATGCTATCCCGGAGTCTTAGCGTTGGATGCGAATTACAGTCATAAACCTATCATTACGAATAAAAAAAATATAGTAAGTAAAAGTATTTATAACACAACTTAAATATTATTTGCTTTGTTTTTCAACCATCGCGTTTTTTAGCTATTGAATAGGAATAGGTTTAAAATTTTTAATATTAGATACAAATTAAAACCATATTAAATTTAGATTAATATATTTGAAAATGTTTATTTTTTTAAATTATAAAGTCCGCCACCATACTTACACTTGCTTAATTGCTTTAATAATAGCATCATTGTTTTATTTATATTATAAATATTTATATCTTATAATCTATGTTTGATTATGAGCTGACAAATAATTTAACAAGTAAAGAAATCTGTTAATTCTGCAAACACCAAATGTTTAAATATATCTATAAATTAAACCCAATTTGAAAACGCTTTGTTAAGCAATTTATGCGCAAGGTTATTTTAAAAATAAATACAAACCTTAAATTCATGAAGAGTTACTTTTGCTACTTTTTTCGATTACCTGAAAAGATTTAACTTATCTTAAACATAACATCGATCCGCGATTTAAAAGGACGTCAGATCACAGCAATATTTTTTAAAATCCATTTCTTGTATGGTGAAATGCGGGTAAATATTTGCATAGTCAGGTTTTTCGGTGAATTAAGTAACATGTATGAGATTGGTATGCCGACAAGGTAGAAGTTCCTTGGCTTTTCATCCACGACTTCGATTCCCATCAGCGGCGATCCAAAGTAAAGGGTTTTTTCCTCCTCGCCCAAAGCACAAAGATGATTCCGCGACAGATTTTGCCAGTCGGGGTAGGCGACCGATTTGCAGAACTCCCTACTTGCCATGAACACATGCACCTTCCTGCGCCACTCGCCCTCCTCATCCGCCTTCTGACCCTCCCACAAAGGTCGTCTGAATCCCGCGATCTCCAGCCTCTGGGCGATGTGGCTGCCATCGTTTTCTGGGACGGGTGGCAAGCATATGGGCTGCACATAGTCCGTAAACTCCACATCCCGCCCCAACTTGGCCAATGCAATGTTGTGCTTGATGTCGTTTTTGTACTCCGGATGCACCACCAGCTCACTGATATCCACCTTTTGCGGCGCGGCAGCACACTGGAAGATGTTCCCTTCGCGACGACAATCACGCACTTCGAAGCTCTCGTTTTCGCGCCAATTCCCAAACAGAATGAACGATTCATCGAACTCGGCGTTAGACAGGGCACAGAAGGCGGTCAGGATGGCATAGCGCTGGTGGATCAGCACCGAAAAGCAAGGAAACGAGGTTCCGTTCTCCGTGACATAGCCCACTCGACCAATCCAGGGGTACTCATCCGGAGCGGTGATCTCGTTCCGGCTGTACAGCTGGTTTTCCAGCAGCTTTCCGCAGTGAAGTCCATATATTGCTGCAAAAAGAGTTTAATGTATTACGTTTTCTCCATGTAACTGCATTCACCGATTTGTCAAGATTGTCTCTAAATAGACACTCATCTTCTATCAAGCTGTGATCAGTAATAACACATTATTGGTTCTAATACCTCTCTGAATAAAAATTGCTAAAGCTCGCTTCTAAATATTTTCAAACTAAGAAAGCGCACACTATTCTTCGATCGTTATGAAAAATATGAAATATGATAGAATATACAATCGTTGCTTTAAATATCTTTCCTGTTATACAGCTTGAATTCCCACAGTTATAATGACGTGACTGGATTGCTATGAGAGAGTAATTATTTATCTATTGATTGCAGGCCAATTTTCTGACTCAAGCTCACTTAATAACCTCACTGAATCGTCATAGTTTTATCCCACTCAATTTTTACTTACGCGTTAAGAGATTGGTCGCCAATAGACCGAGTATGAAGTGGAAAAACATCTTCCAGTAAGACCTGATCGGAACTAACGCTCGATCGGTTGAAAGCATGGTTTAAAGACATCTAACTGAGCTTTTTGCTGCCTAGATAACTAGTATTAAATTTATTAGCATCTGAAGGTGAGCTGTGATGTGAACTGACGCTCGATCCCCAATAATTACATCAATATGAGCTTTTTGCTTCAAACAATTTTAATTAATAAGAAGATAGGGAGCAAACTTTCTATAAGCCGAAGTTTATGAACCCTTGCAGATATTCAATGTTCTTTAAAACAACAATATTGCGACAGTAATTATTAATAAAACATTACTATGTATCGAAGTAATCAATTTCAAAACAGCAAAGTTCATATTTGATATCCTTCGATTATAAAATTAAAACAGTAATTTCAGTAAATGTAGTAAAACAAAATGAATAAATAAATAGTACCGCTTCTAAAAATAAATTTTTTGGCGACAGTCGTTAAACACAATATTTTTAAGGCAATGTTATCCGCTTATTTTAATGGCAATACAAACATTAATAACGTTTTATTTCAAAAGAACATTGTAAATAAATATTTAAAACAATTATTCTAGGTCAAAGTACAACTCGAGAAAAAATGGGATTGAAATCTGTCGAAATTTTGCGGGTTTGTTTGTAATTTTGTTAAACTTTTATCCTGATCGAATTTCTCTTGAACCCAACCAAACGCCAGCTTAACGTGTCTGTCATACGTTTAATTTAAGCCTCGAATTGGTGGACTGGTGAAGGTCCTCGTTAATGGAAGCCGAAGCCGTGCTCGCCGGGTCACGCATAATCTTATTAAGCACCGGACTCCATCTCCGTGCCCGTCTCAATTGGAAAGCGGGAAAGAAATTTCAACAACGTCACCAATTTCCGGCAATTATTTCGACTGTCGGTTGATTTAATTTATTCGTTACTCAAAATTAAAACCAAACCAAAACAAAGAAATCCCCTTGTCCAAGTCGAGCGACATTGTAAACAGGCCACATCCCCATTTAACTCGCCTCCTCCATCGCCTGCTGGGTTTGTTGGCGCGATTTTTCATCCCGGGCACAATTGGTTTTCAATTCGGGGCCATGTAATCCCCCAGCTCCATGGGATATTTCTGGGGATTTATGTTGTTTTTTCTTGCTAGAACAGGAGTGGGATGCTGGGCGGGATCCTTGCATATTATTAGCGAGCGCCGCGTGACTGCGAGTTCAACATTTAATCGAATGCACATAATTGCCAAAATAAATCAATCAATTCGGCTCGGCTGCTCCCTAATGAGAACTGACAGTCGCCAAGTCATTGCCACTTTTGAGCCGAGCCTAAGTCCAGTTCTTATTGGTTACATGTGGGTATTTTGCATAAAATTACACTTGACAAGAAGTTAGCTTATGCTCTTTTTCGTTGCCTAAACAGAACTCCAATTTAACAATATCCTCCTCAAAAAAACGAATTTTAAACATTTTTTTCGAAGTTTTATTAGAAGAAAAAGACTAATTTATTTGAATAAAAAACAATTTCGATTTTTACAAATTTTATAAATAAAACAAACTATACAACAAGCTCTCTTTTATATTTTAAAAATAGTTTGAAAAAGTTTTGATTTTTACTAATTTTATAAATTAAAAATAAACGTTACAACGAAAGCAAAATTCAAGACTAAGTTTCCATTAATGACATTTTCTTTCTTCAGTTTAATGTTTTACAAAAAAAATTTAACTTTTTACTTTCATATATTTCTTTTACCAGGTTCGTATGCACCGGATGCTCTTAGTAAAAATGATCTCAGCAAAAGACTTTTCCAAATTTTAAACGAATTTATTTTTAAATAGTTAACAAACAAACTTCTACATTATTTCACATAAAAATAATTAAACAAATCTTTCAAATAAAGTGCTTGTTTTCGGCCTCAGAAACTCATGTACCTCCTTAAATAACTTGACAGCTAACTTGGTGCAGATTATACACGTTCAAAAACTGCACTCCCAAATATTTATAAAACAGATTTAAATTATAGAAAGGCTGCGAAAGATGAAAACGTTAATGCCTATGCTGAACTTTGTGGCTCAGTGTCACATTCCCAGGAATAAATCCGGGAAATGGGCAAACCTTAAACGACTTGGTTTACGTGCCATTTGACTTGGGAAGGAAGGCCTCTGGCTAATGCCGCGTCTTAGGTGAACATAAATATCCGTGTTCCGTCCGATAGTGATCTCAGTCTGGCTCTCTCCGTGGGTCACGTGCCACCGAAGTCGCGCCTCCGTCTCGTTTTGTAATCCGCGAGATATGGCCTCGACGACACGCTCCCATCGACTTACTCTGCGCCCATTATGAAAATGACAAATGGAGCGCAAGTGTCCGCCACCCCGGAGTAAATAGAACGGGGTACTCCCAAAAGAAAAACACGGAACGCGTGAGGGATTATGTGTCAAAGGATTAGATACAACACAAACTCCAATATTCCCACCTCGGGGCTTAATTTTGATAGGCATTGATTTAACGTTGTTGGCAGTATGATAACTATCATAATTGAATCGGCAGAGACTTCGTTTAGGATTTATATAGTTTCTATTAATAAGATTTTAGGTGCAAAACAATTGAACATTAAAATAGAGTACAAAATCATAGCTTTATCTACTGCATCTTGACAAAAACCCTTCAAATATACTTAAAAAATTTAAATTTGTACAAAAAGAAAAAGCGAGTCTTCTATTTAGAAACATAAAAATTAATAATAATTTAATTATGGTTACATAGAGGGCTGTGCTCCTAAAAGTACCTAGCAATTTATTAGGTTCTATCATAATTTTATATTTGTATACATATATGTAAATTTTTTTTAATAAAAAGAGCAACATTTCTGAATAGGAATACAAATCCTAGTTGGAGACTTCCCGCTGTGCTGAAAACGCTTGCAAACAAATTTGTGTTAAAATTTCAACCATAATTTGGTGACACCGAAAAGCACAAGAAGGAGTTAGGGCTTGAATGGTTGGGGTGGCAGGACTGAGCTGCCGGAACTGACGAGGACGTTATTAGCCGCAGGGGGAGTTGAAGCGGATGGAAGGATGAAGATAAAGTCGAGAAAAGGGCTCTTACCTTTGAGGGGTGGTTTGATTTTTTTTCGAACGCACTGCGGCCATCCACAATTGAATTTAAAAAAAAAAGAAACTGCAAAACGCATTTTTCAAAATGACAAACAAACCCAACGAAAAGTGAAACGGAAATAAAAACAAACAACGGAGGCCAAGGAAAACAAAGTAACCTGAGACCTATTCCGATAGCGATTCCGAGTTCAAACGAATGATGATGATGATGATGATGATGAGGCTGGGAATGGTGGGGTGGCTCTGGAGAAGAATGGGAAGACCCGCAAGGGGGTGTGAAAACGAAATAAGTATAAACAAATAGAAGCGCACAGTAGGCAGCTAAATTTTGGCCGAAGTCAAATGGACTGGGGGACAAAGGTTTCGTTTTTTTTGCTGAGGGTGGTTCGACTTTACATTTTGGCAATTATAATGCATACAAGCGATATGCGAGGCCTTGAACAAACAATAAACTGTTAACAATCAGTTTTACAAGCGTATCAACACTATTTCCCCGTCGAGTCCTCAGTTTTCAAATGTATGGCTGGGATATGTGGATTTAGAAGAAATATATAAAGATATCCTTAGCTAGGTTATCCATGGAATAGTAGTAACTACCAGGAAAGTATCAAAATAAAATGTATGTGGTTTAAAAAAAAGGCCTTAAAATGCAGTTTTAGACTCTTTGGTAAGGAAATGCAATTAAAAAGTATAGGTGTTATATTATTTAGTACTGAATTAATACTTCGACTTTGACACTGTCTGTACTCTATTTTCAAGGCACACTTATTAAACACTTATTAAAACTATTTTTTTGGGTGTAACTTTTGTATCATTTGCATTCTCCTTTATCAATCTATGCGACCATTATGTTATTAGAATTAAGAATCAGTTATTCCAAATTTGCTTTAATTCATCTAGTGAATATGTCTTTAAACTTGTAGCGTTAGGAAGCCTCTCACAATATTATTTGGTGCTTATCAGATTGTTTTTTATTTTTTATTTGTGCACTTGTCGTGAAAATAACCCCACTGTTAGGCCTTCGAATAAAGTGCCCCGAATTCGGGCCAGTGTTCGGGTGGAGCGAACAGAACCGCAGATGTCCAGTTCCTGCGAGCGATTTTCCATCGCCACGGCAGGCGGTCTCATTAAAGCGCCGAAGTGCAGGCCAATTGCCGGGGATCGCAGGGGGCATAAATCACGCCGTTTAATAACTAATAAACGCCATCGCTCAAGTGGCAGCTGTCAGTTTGTCGGCGGCGGCCAAAGAGCGTGAAATTGTCGCAGGCGGACAGGACCAAGGGTCAGGGATGCGAAAAGGACGCGGACGAAAAACAAGGACAACACAGTGCAGAGCTCGTTACAAATAAAAAACACCCCAGAGGAATCCATCAGTTTTCGTGATTTCCGTATATTAAGTCATCATTTTCGGTCGCAGTTCAGCAGCTCCCTTGGGTGAAGTCCGGTTTATTCGGGGAAAAAACTTAAAATTGAAGCTGGGCCAACAATGGTGGATGAATCTTGTGTCCGCGCTGTCTGATTACAAGAAAAGTTAAGTGCTTCGACTCAAAATGGGAAAAGAGGGGAGGCCGTTGCTCGGGGATCACTTTCTTGTCCATGTTTCATTAGTGGTTAATGTCGAACACAATCGGGAACATTGAAAACAATTTCTACGAAGCAAGGTGATTGGAAACTAAAATGTTTCTGCAAATACTATTAATATTCTATAATCACTTTTTGTTAGTATAACACAGTATTTGGCATTATTTAAATGAATCATAATCTGGAAATTGAAATTGTAAGCAAATGTAATTCATTTATTTATTTTTAATATTTAACAATTATCACTTAGGTACTGTTACCTAAAAGTATGTTACAACTGTTATTAAATTATAGATAGCTCTTTCTATTGCATTGATGATGGCGC